ATCTGCTTCGGTAAAGATTTACAGCCTTGGAAACTGGATACCCTATAGGGAAGTTCTACCCTGTCATATAGGGTCACTATGAGTCAGAACCAACTTGATGGCAGTGGGTTTTATATAATTCTTAGCTGACAGTTTTTCCTTTCAAGGGTTTATAAATGTTATCCCATTGCCTTCTTGCCTGCCAAGTAATCAGAGCTTAGTCTTATTGGTTCCCCTTTGTAGGCATCTTTTGATTTTTCCTGAGCTACTCTCAGAATTCTTTCTTTGTCTTTGGTTTTGGTGAGTTTGATCATGCTATGTCATGGTGACTTTCTTTTGGAAGTCTATCCTGTATGGGGTTCCTTGAGCTTCTTGGATAGATATCTTTTCATCTTTCATGATATAAGGAAGTTTTTCTGCCAACAAATCTTCAACAATTTTGTGAGGCTTTTTTTTTTTTGTTTCTTTGTTTTTGTTTTTTGCCTCCTCCTGTTCTAGAATTCTGATCATGTGTAAATTTTTCTCTGGATAGTGTGTCACATAATTCATAGGCTTTCTTCATTTTTCTTCACTATTTTTCTGATTTTTTCTCTAACAAATTGGTGTCAAGAGATTTGTCCTCCATTTTGCTGATTCTGTCTTCCAGTGATGAAATTCTACTCCTCTGTCCTTCTATTAAGTTGTCTATTTCAAAATGTTACTGTTAATCTTTTGGATTTCTAGTTGCTGCTTTTGTACTGTTTCCAATTTTCTATTTATTTTGTCATTTTGTTCTTGTACTATTTTCCTGAATTCTTCTATTGCTTTATCCATGTTTTCCTCAGTTTTGTCTTTTCCTTGATCTCCTGGAGAACCCTATATATTAGTCTTTTGAATTCTTTATTAGCTAGTTGTACTACCATTTCTTTCTCTGGAAGGGTTTCTGATTCCTTACATTTGTCACTTGCTGTAGCCAGCTTGTCCTGTTTCTTTATGTGATTTGATTATTGTCTATTCTCCCTGAGGCATTAAGGTGTTACTATATATTTTTAATTTATTGTATGTTTACTTGCTATGCCCTGATTTTGTTGTTTTGTTTTGTTTTTCTTTGATATATCTGAGTAGGCAGGGCATGCATGCTACTCTGGTCACTAGCCTGGCCACATTGGCACTCTCACTACCTATCTCCAGGTGGGTCAGGCAGATGGCTGGGAATGTGAGGGCTTGGGAGACAGTTGAGGATGTAGTTGGCATTGCCAGTGAGGTGATGTATTTGCCCAACTGGACACGCATGAATGCAGGGAGTGTTCTCAAGGGTCACTAGGTTAGGGGTTGCCTGTGCACATTGCTGATTTCTAGGTGGCCAAGGTGAGAGTGCCTGGGTTATCAGTCACAGGGTGGGTGGTACAGAAACTCCAAAAAATGGTCCCAGGAGGGCAGGGATGCACAGAGGTGGTCAGAGAGAACATAGTTCTATGGCTGTGAGAGTGAGGGACATGGTGCCGGCTAGGACAGTGTGCTCCATTTGCTATAGCATGATGTGGGGGAGAGTATGCCACAAGTCCTTAGGCCCCTGGCACTAGTGGTGAAGGAGGCAGAAGGCACCACTGGTCTGCAGCTACCCAGCATGGGTGGCTGGGCATAGGGGCAGGCACTGATGATCCATAGGTCTCCAACACAAGTGGATGAGCAAAGGGGTAGGTAGCACCAATACACAGGCCCCCAGTCAGGGGTTGGGGAGGGGTGTTTGGTGCTTGTGGATTGTGTCTGTGTATAGTGAGGATAGATGAGGGGGACAGGGGTCACTGCAGGTCCGTGGGCCTCTGACACAGATGGATGGTGGGATGTAGTGTGTGGAGATAGTACACTTAACTTTTGTAAGGCAGGGAGCTCTCCTACTTATCTCTGGATGTGGGCACAGAGTTGCTCCTGCTAGGGTGCACCAGGTGATGGTGGCTTTGGCTAGGAATGCTGCTTGCTTTATCTCAACATGGCCACACCATGTAGGTTAAGCTGGCAGGGCACTAGTGATCCATAATTCTCCATGTCCACTTTTTTGTACAGTCTCTCCTTCCACTTGGTGCTCTGTCTTATTCTTCCTCCTTGCCTTTGATGCTCAGGGTTCCCAAGTTATCTATTTCCAATTTACCTGTTTTCTTGGGTCTTTGTTATAAGAAGGACTATACGAGGCATCTGACTACACCCTCCCCAGACCCATTAGTAACCTCTTGTCATAACAAAATCACTGAGATAAGCAAAGTTCACATCATCTTGTGAAAAAACCAAGCACTCTACTAAGGAAAACTGCCTAATGGGAAAGCCATGCTAGCTCTGCTTGGAGGTGCACTGGATGAGTTTTTTCAGTGCTAGCATGGTCTACTAGTTCTTGTTAAACTATCTTATAATCTGAAGTACTATAATACAATAAAGAATGCATCTCATACAGTTTGTTTTGCATGTTCAAATGCTATTCATAATATACTCAATATGTGCTAGCCATTATTATTGCTCTTTCCATTAATGTTTTTTGTGTACTTACTATGTGCCATCAGAAGGAAAGTTGGGAACCTACTTCCGTAGTGATACTGCCTTGGAAACCCAAGGAAGGGTCACTATGAGTCGGGTCCGACTCGACGGCACATAACAACAACAACAACAACTATGTGCCAACACTCGGTAAGTGTGATTACTCTCAACTAAAAAGTCAGCTCCTGCTCTCAAAAGAAGTGAGTTTGGCTGTATAATAAAGTAGTTATTATAATTGGAATTATGCAACATATGCCATGGCTGCTGGAAGGAAGAAGCATCTAAGTCCATTGGGAAAAAGAGAGAAGGCTTCCTTGAGGAGGTGATATTTGAGCTAACATTGAAGAAAGATTAAGAGTTTGCTGGGGGTGGGGAGAGAAAGAAGGAGATATTAAAGGGTGGAGTGTAGTATATGGTGGGATAGAGATAGGAGAACAGCACAATCACATGGGCTAGTATGACTAAAGAGTAAAGGACAAAGGCACAAACGGGCAGTATTTGGGAATCTACAAGGACTTATTCAAGATGAGTGCATACAATAAAGTATGAGAAGAGAGCTGATGGGAGCTCAGGCTGGAGAAGCAGCCATACCTTTATTGAGCACCTACGATGTGCAATGCACAAAGCATGAATACAAAGAAGAGCTGTACAGAATAACAGTCCTTAAAGGCAATTTAAAACTCTAACAAGAATCAAGCATCCTAAATTCTAAAAAGAAACAAAGATTGATATTGTACAAAAAGGCCAAATAATCAAGTTCTAATACCTTATTCCCAATTTATCTCTGACATTAAAAAAGGTAATTATCTACATTCAGACTAAGATTCAATTTCTCACTACAGTAACACTTCTTTCGATCTCAAGCAAATGTGTACTATTGATTTAAATATTAAAAAATACTCAGAGCCTACCAGAAGAAAAGTACTAGACAAAATATTTCATTCAACAACACTGCAATTCAATAAACCTTGAGCACCGATTCTGAACCAGATCCTGCTGAGCAATGAAGACACAAAGATGAATAAGACAGTCTAGTGGAAAAGTCAGGTACATGAAATAGCTTTAATGATATGCCCCTATCATGGCTTTGTCTATACCCCTACTATATTGGTACACTGTCTTTAATTTAGAATCTTCAACATTGGATGACATTGATTTATTAGCATGCTTGTATTCTTACTAGATTGGATTAAATAAATCTCTAAGAGTGCACAGAGTAGGACATGATTAATTATGTCTCATGAAATGAGAGAAAACATCCAAGAGGAAGTGATACAATGAGAGCCTTGATGGTGGACAAAATATCACAAGCAAATTCTAACAATGGCATAACCCAGCATCAGAGGGATGAAATTATGTAACATGTTAAGGATATATGGAGAGTTCAATGGACATAAAGACACAGGAATAATAGACAGAAAGGTATAAGACTATATGCTTTGTTGAGGCTGAAGACTGTTCTATTTACTTCACTATCATATCCCTGGTAACTAGCACAGTACTAAGCACCCAAAACACACTCAACATATAATTTTCTATTGAATTGTTTAATGAATTGATTAATGACTAAAAAGAAAGACCTGAAACAAGTCTGTGTAGAACACATGAGTTTCAGTAGTGATTCCAGAGAATAATGGAAAGTCATCTAAGGTTTTAGCTAGAGAGTATTGTTTTGTTGTTGCTATGTGCAGTCGAGTCGGCCCCAACTCATAGCAAACCCTTCTTGGGTTTCTGAGGTGGTATCACTATAGAAGTAGATTGCCCGACCTTCCTTTTGAGGAGTGGCTGGTGGGTTTGAACCGCCAGCCTTCTGATTAGCAGTCAAGTGCCTTAGGCACTATGCTATTACAATCAGATGTATACTTTTAGAAGAATGTGGATAAAAAATAAAGAAAGAAGAGGTGGCAGCAGAGATATATATCATAGTATTATTATAATAGGCCAGCCAAGTGATGATGAGAATCTGTATCACAGCAAAGACAGTAGAAAGTTCAAAAAGCAATCATACACTACAAAGGAAAGGCCACTAGACCTGGGAACAGGTCATTGATCCATTAGTCCTATTAATCTTAAGGTAGGTACAAAAAAAGCATAACAATGTATTTACAAGAGGTCAAGAATGGCACAATTAATAATACAGAGGAGAGTACACAAAAAAAAGTTATATTTCTGTGTTGTTTCTATCTGAATTAAATTAAATGTCAATTAAATTTAAATAAAATTTAAAATTCTGTCTCTCAGTCACAGTGGTCACATTTCAAGGGTCTAATGGCCATGTGTGGCTATTGGAGAGCAAAGACTTATGGAACATTTGTATCACTGCACAAAATTCTGTTAGATAGTGCTGCCACAGACTAATATAACTGATTCAGGAGACAGAATATTTCCTGGTGAATCTGAATCAGTCTTTATTTCACTTTTTTCTGGAAAGAGATGAGAAAGCAGGAACTAAGTTCTACCAGCTACCAAAGTACATTACACATCTTCAGCAGCAGGGCTGATAGAGTAGTACTCACTTGCTCATGGCTTCTACTCCTGCTTTGGCAGAAGAACTTGGTACTACAAAACCTGATCCACTCTCAGCATAGATGGTTGTAATAGCAAGAAATGCTGCTCCTGGAATTTTAAAATGATAGAGTTGATTAACAATACAGCTATATCAATACTCATCAGGAAAACGTGACTTAGAAGACTGGGGTCTGATTCATAAAGGTTTAACAAAATATTAAGCATTTTTGAAAATTGACTAGTCCAAAAATTATGGGAAATTAATAAAATTGCTACTTCTTATTACTGATTCTGCTGTCATTCAGGATGACCAAACATGTGGTTACTTGGAATTCTACACCAGGTGAGTGAGTAGTATAGCCAAACCTCACAGGTATGCATGACACTGTAACTTGTTGCTGTAAAGTCAATTTTGACTCATACTGACCTTGTATGATAGTTGGGGTTGTGTGTCAACTTGGTTGGACCACGATTCTGACTGGGTTAAGCAGTTTTGATGTGATTATTCCCATGATGACATAGGAAGTATATGCTTTGAGCAGCCAATCTGCTCAAAGTCTTTGCCTGCCATCTTTGAGCTCTTTAGCCCCTGTAACTGTATGAGTTGGGAAAAGCCTCCAGTGTGACGTTTGATCCAGGAACTTGCGACATGCCAGCTTCTGTAACTGTGTGAACCATTGTCCTAACACAAATTTCTCTCTATATATATCTATATATAAGATTTACTGGTCTTGCTTCTTTAGAGAACCCAGCCTAACACACTCTGTAAGACAGAGCAGAATTGCTCCATACAGTTCCCAACTCAATAGTCTTTAAGTAAGCAGAATGCTTTATCTTTCTCCCGCAGAGCAGCTAGTGCATTCAAAGTGCCAACCTTTCTGTTTATTAGCAAATAAGTGCTTAATCACTGCACCAAGAGGGTTCCTATGATGCTGTAACACCCTGCATAAATTAGCTGAGAGATTTCCATTAACTAACTATTCATTTAAATAAGAATAAATTAGAATTAAACTAAATAAATAGGAATTTCCAAGTCTAGACATGCTATACTTATGCTCCTTCTGTAAAGAGCTAGAAAACTGTGTAAGAGATATGATACAACTGTTTTCAGATACTTTACAACAGAGAACAAAGAGTAGTGACCCATAAGAGAAGGCAAACAAATGATACAAGCCCTAAGATCATTCCATATTTTTGCCTGTTGTTGTTGTTGTGTGCCATAGAGTCAGACCTGACTCATAGCGACCCCTCCTTGGGTTTCCAAGGCAGTATGACTATGGAAGTAGATTGCCCCATCTTCCTTCCGAGGAGTGGCTGGTGGGTTTGAACCAGAGCGCCTATATTTTTGCCTAGAGGTGCTATATAGAGACTATGGTGCAAGAAAGGAGAACCAAAGGAGAATGAATGTGGGTTTCTCACTGAGTTGAGAAGACAGAGATCAGACGTTGGGGAAGCTGAAGCAACTGCAATTTGTGGGCTCCCCATGGAGAGTATGTGGAGATTGAGCTCCATAAATGTGCAGAGACCACTTAAGTCTTTGACCTCACACCTAGCTGTGCATGTTAAAATGAAACTCCATGAGGTCAGACAAAGAAAAATTGCTGGGTAGCCGTAAGCTGAACAACTCCCAGAGCTCACACAGGGCTGAAGGAAATCTGAATTCCAGGAAGCTTTGGTGAACATCCATAGCTTTCAGTAGAACTCAAAAATGTCAAGTATTTGTAGGAGACCTAAAGTAGCTCAAAAGTAAAGGCTATTCTAGATTCACCCAAATAAAGCTTAAAAATGAGCCTTGAAATAATCAAGCTGACATACAAGTAAGTTAACTGCTTGGGGGAAAAAAAAAACAACACTTCAAAGAAAAAAATAAAAACTTAAAGAGATATTTTACAACTTAATATTCAGAGTTTGTAATAAAAAAAAAAAAAATCACTAAACATGAAAAGGAAAAAAACATACCCTGAAGAAAAATCAGTTAATAGAGTCCCCAAAATGATAGAGAAGACAGAATTAACAGACAAAACACTTAATAATGCTATCATATACACATTAAAAGATTTCAAGGAAAACATGAATATAAGGAGAGAAATGGAAAATAGAAAAATAGAACCAAATAAAACTTCTAAAGCTGAAACATAAAATATGTGCAAGAAAATATTAAATGAATGGGCTTATCTGTAGGGGGAAAAGACAAAGATCCATGAACTTGAAGATCTGGCAATAAAAAACTATTTAAATGAAAGACAGAAAAAAAAAGTTAGACAATAGATGAAACAGAGCCTCAGTAATGTGAAATAGTATCAAGGGTTCTACTGATACATGTGTAATTAGAATCCCAGAAAGACAAGGACGAAAAAAAATTATGTGGAGAAATAAAGGCTGAGAAAATGTCTAAATTTGGTCAAAACTATGTATTATCTATACATCCACCAAAAAAAAAAAAAAAAAAAAAACCTCACTGCTGTCGAATTAATTCTGACTCATAATGACCCCTTCTAGGGTTTCTGAGGTAGTATCTCTATGGAAGTAGATTGCCCAGTCTAATCCCAAGAAGGATAAACACAAAGAAAATCACAGCAAGGGATAGATCAAAACCAGTGATAAAGAGAAAGTGTTAATAGCAATCAGAGGCAAAAATAGTATACATAAGGGAACAAAAATTTAAAAAATTCAGTTAACTTCTCCTCAGAAACAATGTAATCTAGAAGACAATGGAATGACATCATTAAAGTGCTGAAGGAGAAAATTTGTCAATCCTCAATTCTGTACTCAATGAACAGCCTTCAAAAATGAAGATAATATTTTCCTGGCAAACAAAAGTTGAGAGAATTTGTTGCCAGTAGACCTGCACTGTAAGAAATGTTAAAGGATACAATGAATGTAATCAGTGTCGATAAATTGTATGTGCAAAAATGTTTCATTAGCATTAATGTTTTGTTACATACATTTTTATGAAAATTAATTTTTTTAAAAAAAGAGAAATGTTAAAGGAAGTTCTCCAGGCTAAAGGAAAATGATACTAAGTAAAAACTCAGATCTTCAGAAGGAATAAAGGATATCAGAAACAGATTATATATATGTATATATATATAATTATAGATAGATAAATATGACATTTTCTTATTTTCTAAATTTCTTTGAAAAATAATTGACTTTATAGAGCTAAACTAAAGAACAAATTTTTAATCAATTGCTGCTGTTGCTTCTACCATTACTCTTCTTTCCTCATTCAAAATAAGCATATAGTGACCAACAATGCCGGCACATAGTAGGTTCTTAATAAACTGACTGAATGAATGAAAGCATAAAAGGGAAACCTTTGGTTCCCAAAAAATCAGTAATTTTCTACTTTTTATTTATCCGCACTGGATAAGACAATATTCTAAGTTTAATATTTGCAAATGGATCAAAATATATTTATATAGTTTATAAAATACTACATACTTCAAGAAATTTAAATGTGAATAACTGAAAGGAAAATAACTTGGAGAATATTCCAGTAAGTTTTTCTTTTCACATATTTGATTTCTCTTTCCCTCTGCATTTTCCTAAGTAGAAACAAAACTCAGCACATCTTGCACCACATGGGGGCGGGAGAAGGGGGAAGGAGTACCATTTTAAGGATATGAGAAATAAGAATGGTTATGTTAGTCATTCTGATAACTCCTTTTTTATATCAAACTCAGCCTTTCAAATCTCTGAAAATTACTTAGTTTCCAAAATCATACTCTGTGAAAGAAGAAGGATATAGAACATTAGTGTATCCATTATAGTACATTGAAAGTAGATGTTAACTGCTTAAATCTTACAGCAAAATTTTAAAAACTACTTTAAAAAGTGACAAATACTTACACTAAGCAAATATCCCAACTGAAAGTATGCTATCTTCCGATTAAGATTTTATAGCAATGTTTCTTGTGGTGTCAAAGAGGATTAAGCCATTGCTATACAAAGGAAATAAGGAGCTCTGGTGGCGCAGCACCTAAGGCATTTGACTGTTAACCTAAAGGCTGGCAATTCAAACCAATCAACCGCTCTGTGGAAGGAAGATGGGACAATCTAATTCCATATTTACTGCCTTGGAAACCCGATGGGGGTTGCTATGAGGCAGAATCAACTTGATGGCAATGTATTTGATTTTTCTTGGTTTACATAGTGCAGATACTGAAAATGGAAGTTATTATCCTCTTCTCTTTTTCCGTTTAACTTTTATCTTTGCTGCCTAGAAGATTTGGGTAGCCCACTACTTAGAAGGAGATACTGCTGCTTTTAATTCTCTCTGAGTATAAAAGGTAAAAAATTGAAACTGAACTGTTCCAACCGGATGAAACCTGCACAGCAAAACAATTAGCAGACGGACTTCAAAACATGAAAATTCAGTGGTGCTAAAAACTCAACATACAGAATTCCCAGAAACCCAGGGTTAGGTCACAGATGTATTTTTCTTTCTATAGGAAGGTCAATTATTTCAGTTAGAATAATTGCCCATGAAAGAGGTTTGTAAATGTCAAGTTGCTAACAGTCCAGTGCAGACAACAGAAACAATTCTGTATCATTTAGTAAGGTCAAGATCATGGATAAAAGGAGCTACAGATGAAATAAATATCACACTAGCCATCCTGCACCCTTTCAAAATGGAAGAAAAAGAGTAACAAAGAAGCACTATTTAACAAGATAAATTGTGTAGATTATTATCCAATTTCAAAAGAAGACTAGACAATCACAAAAGGACATGGAGATCACTATGGTAAAAAGTCAAGAAAAGGATTTCACAAACAAAAAGAAATATTCTTTGATGGTTACCAAGGGTGGGCCAGGAAGGGAGGGTAAAATAAACAAATAAATGAAATAAAGCCACCCACTTTGTGGGGGAAAAAAAATAGAAAGTTTTAAAATCTTTTTAAATAAAAAAAAAAAAAAAAAAAAAACTTCCCATCAAGTTGATTCTACCTCATACAGACCCCATAGGACAGAGCAGAACTTCCCCATAGTGTTTCCAAGACTGGAATCTTCATGGAAACTGACAGCCACATGTTTCTCCCATGGAGCGGCAGGTGGGTTCTATCTACTGACATTTTGGTTAGCAGTCGTGCACTTAATCACTGTGC